CTGCAGTTGTGTCCCTGCAAAAATGTTGGTGCTTTAACTGTAGTTAATGTCATTACAAAAAAAAAAAAAGAAACTTTTCACTGCAAAAATTAGACGAGGGATCTCTGTCTACTGCCCTGGGCACAGCCAAGTCTCTTACTCTCAGCTTCTCTAATAAACAGGTCACTTGGGCAAGGGTAGACGACTTGAGGTCTCTCTCTGATTCTTAATCTGTGAAATTATTCAAAGAAGGTCAATTTGCCTTGACAAAAGTGCCTTTGTGTGCTCTGAGTCTGCAGAGTCCAGTGCAGGCAAACTCCCCGTGGCTGTGCAGGCAGCGAGGCTCAGTGTGCCCGACGTGCATTTCCCACTGGACTGTCCTACTCTGGGATGAGTCATATGATTCCTTCTAGCCATGCACACACAAGAACACATGTATGAAGTTTCCCACCCTCTTAGGCCAGACATGTAGACAAAAGAGGTTTGGTTCCTGATGCTTGCCTGGTGGAAGGCCTAGGAGGAAGAAATCTAGAGGCAGAAATCATCAGGAAGAGAGGACTGCTGGAGAAAAACCTCAGCTACAAAATGCCAGAGACAACGGTCTACATAAGACCTTAAAAGGGAACAAGACTGTTTCAAATTTTTGGTAGAGCTAATAAAGAAAAGCTCACAGCAAAGCCTGCAGACAGGCTGTCGGGAGCTTCTGCTTCTTTTCCAACAAGCAGCAGCACAAAATTGTTAATGCAGTGGTCAGTTCTGCAGCTGCTATTCAAACCACATGGACAAGGTTGGTACTGACAGGAATAATCCTGACTCTGTAAAACGGACTGTAAAGGAGCAAAGCTCAAGAACAGGAACTGAGAAGCATGCCAATAAGAAATTAAAAAGCAGAGGCTGAAGAAGTTAAAGTGCAATGAGGAAAGCTCAGAGCAAGCACTGCCTAGCTGGTCATTCCTACAGAAGACAGCAGACACCAAGGACAGCCTGATGCTATTCCCTAAAACCCAGACAGGCCAAGTCATCACAGTTCACTGCTGCACTCCCACCAGGCTCTAGCTGGTGAGGTCAGGACTCCAGATCACAAACGTCTGCAGTTTATCAGGGTTTGCACTCCAGACCCAAGTGGAGGTTTCTGCAGAACCCTGAGACATTCACGCCACCTCTTTGTGCTCAAACGCAGATGATTTTTGATTCCCTCTTCAAAAATGGGTTTTAATAATTTGCCCCATTCACCACTGAAAACGAGTGACCTTAAGATGGCTACTAAAAAGTTCAGCTCCAAACAAACTCATTGACCAGCAGCAGTGAGTGGCCTTACTTGCCTGATATAAAAATGAGCCACAGGGCCCACTGAAACCCCAACCAGGGGATTCACTCCACACCATTAACTTAATCATCTTCCTGCTTAACTGCTGGTGCAAATGGGACCAGAACCAGCACAGCGAGCCATCTCACCCTCTGGGACCTACCCCGTGGAGCTGGATGGATCAGTTTATCACCTTCAGTTTGGTGTAAGTGGAGAAACTTTGTGCCTGATGATACCTCCGGCACTGCCACTTCCAGATCAACGTGACGCCCCTCACTCCTGATGCGGTACTTATAGTTTGTGTCCATGGGAGATAAGGATCGCCTGTTTAGGGCCAATAGTCCCAAAATCCCTACTTTTTCTTTTTTCCTATGCCCGGTGGCGCGGGGACAGGTATTCTTTCACACAAGTATAAAAGAGCAGCTGCAGCAAACCGAGCCCGCGGCTCTGACACTCGGCCTTTGCCGCTGCCGCGGTGACACCGCCGACACTCCACCGGGCGGGTGGAGCTCCGCGTACCGGCCACGGCCGCGACCCCGCCGGGCAGCCGGGCCGGGGGAGCCAC